TAACTATATCAGTTAATGTCCGCATCCGTTAACATCTGTTTTTTTGAATGGAAGAAAACCCTATTTTTCTTCCATTATAAAAAACAACAGACAAAAAATGGATGTAAATGGACAAAAACTGATGTGAACGGATGTAAGCTGACAAAAAACGGATATAAACGGAAAAAAAAGGGATATAAATGACCATCAGAGGTTTTCACTCTTCCTTACTCTATCCAAAGCTTAAAAAATAGTTTTTATTATACCTATGCTCTAAAGCATCTCCAGCCATAATTTTTTTTTTGCTTGTTAAGTTTTCAAGGTAGCATGAAGAATGCTAAAAACATCTTTCAATTTTGATTGTCTCTATGGCCGTGTGGGGAATTTTTTGCTTACCTTTCTGTTCTTCTGACACAAACGGGAGAAATTTCAAATAGGACCAGAGACAGTAGTAAAACACTGTTTTTAGTAGGGTAGCTGACTGCTAGAACAACATTGTCTCCGGGACAGGAAATGAAGGAAATCTCTGTAGAGGCGCCTCAGTCTTTAACTGCTTGCCGACTGCATCACTTACATGTGCGACAGCAAGGTGGCTCTCCTGCCCCGGATCATGTACCTAGCATGCAATCCAGCACTTCAAGGTAGGGGGCGCGTGCACGTACCCTGGGTGTGCTGTGATTAAACACAGCACAAGCTGATCAGCAGGTTCCCGCCAATGGCTGACAGCCAGAACCTGGTGACTGATGAAGAGGCTGACAGGACAGAGCTCTGTGTATGTAAACAATACAGAACTCTGCCCTGTCAGCGGGGATGAGCTGATTTTTGTTTGTCTGCAAAGCAGAGAATAAAAACCGGCTCATCCCCTAGTAACAGCAGCACACTATACACATACAAAACACTGTTAGGCATACACTTAACCCTTTGATCACCCATAGATGTTAACTTCTCAACCAGTGTCATTAGTACAGTGTCAGTGTATATTATTAGCACTGATCACTGGTCCCAGTGCCAGTGTCAGTTAATGTTGGATTGACAACCTTACTATTACGGTCTTGCTATAAGTCACTAATCGCCGCCATACTAATAATTAAAAAATAAATAAATAAAAATTCCAGTACATAATCCATAGTTTGTAGACAATATAACTTTCACACAAACCAATCAATATACACTTATTGGGATTTTTTTTTACCAAAAACCTATAGCAGAATTCATTTTGAACTAAACTTTTGAAGAAATTTGATTTTCAAAAATATCATTTTTTTTTTTTTTCAAAATTGTCATTCTTTTTGAATTTATAACGCACAACATAAAAACCCCAGTCGCGATCAAATACCACCAAAAGAAAGCTCTATTTATGTAAAAGAAATTATATAAATTTCATGTTAGTACAGTGTTGCATGACCGTGGAATTGTCAGTTAAAGTAATGCAGTCCAAAAAATAGCAGGGAAGGGGGTAAAATCTTCTGGAGGGCAAGTGGTAATGATAACTTTAGCACTGCCCATGGCTACATGGCAGTTTTATGACCAAATATTCTTAATCCTCAATGCCTCTATTGCATATACACACACAAATAGTAAGGAGCACATTAAGTAAAACATATAGTATAGTATAGTTAAATCCTGCTTATACTTGAAATGTCTGATCCCTGTGAACCCTGGGCACTTGGTTACAACTTGGGGTTATCTTGGGGCTAACAGATATCTTTATATAGGGTGAACCTTTCCTGAAAATTTCTTTTGGTTTTGCCATGTTGACTATGGCCTAATTTGTTGCTTGATTTAAAGCTAACCTTATGTAAATTGGATTGCCATACAGGTAAATTTTATATATCATATTTATATGTTTATATAACCTAAAACTGTCCGCCTGCATCCAGCAAACTAATATCTACATCTCTAGAAGACGTAGTAGCCTATGAAATCAACGTGGTTGATTTACTAAATCTGGTGCAGCTGTGCATGTTAGCCAATCAGCTTCTAACTTCAGCTTGTTCAATTAAGGCCGGCCATACATGGGTTGATTTTCGAACGATTTTTCGTTTGAAAATGTGACCTAAGAATAATCAGACAATTTTCACTCTGTTAGTGGGGAAATGGCACGGACAATTTTCGTGGTTCCTCCCCATTTCGTTTATCGGGCATGCTGGAAAATTAGTGAAAAATGTCCAATTTTCAAGATCATTGGTGGCACCATCGGATTACAGAACGAATAATGTTTTTGATTTTTGATCAAAAAATAGTTTGTAATTCGACCCATGTATGGCCTGCTTAAGGCTTGACTAAAAAATTGGAAGCTGATTGGTTTCTATGCAGAGCTGCCCAAGATTTTGCGCTCTACAGTTTTAATAACTTCATTGTGTCAACTGTTTGTAGCTACAAATCCAATGATCAATTCTGTTAGGGTATATTGACTATATGTGCAATTATACATATATCGTTATCATTAGGACTGAGCAACAACTAAATCATAATACAAGAGCCTCTTACCTCTCCATAAGTTATGGTGTTATTATATACCCTCATTTCAGGATATACATTCTCCAGGTACCACTTAAAACTACGACACTGCAGTTTCTGGCGGAGAGCTATTCTTTCAGATACATCTCCAAAGTCCACTCCAGGATTCTGTTAAGAGATTGTAAGATCTGTTATCTCTTTAGTGAGAGTGATTCACCTTCATAGCTCAAACATTCTCCATGACAACGTTACAAAGAACATTGCAGTGAACTTGTCCAGATTTTCTGTAACTGACAGAGAAATCATCAATTCTTTCTGCTAAAAAGAACAGGGCTAACATAATAACAATACAATGCCATATTATATTTAAGTAACCAAGTAAGATAATTATCCTTCGCTGCATTTATTTCTTTGATGCATATTGCTAGTTTACGACTAAAACTAATTTTCTATTTTGAGATGGCATGCAATTTTGTGCAGGAATGATTTGGTATACAGCAATACACTACAAATACAGGTGGTGTTATAAAGGGATTTTCTTTTGGTGATTTATCAGTCTTAAAAAACAGCTGATTTCAGTATTGTGAAAGGTGGATGCAAGAAAAATTGTAAAATATACAGCTGAAATACATATATGGGAGCTACCTTCTGCTAAAGGATGTGTATTTCTGTCCATTCAGTCCAGTTTTTTTTACACAGCCCTGCTTTACAGAACAGCTAGCGTGATGACTTAATTTTCCTCTTCTGCATCTAAGGAACACAGCCTCCCTGCCCCAGTCTCTGACTTGAGAGTGAAGGAACAACTATGTACTTATGAGGTCATCACTCAGTTTTCACTTACTATTAGCACATCCCTTGTCAGGAGATGTGAATGATGGACACCTCATTGACTCCAAGTGCTGCCTCCTTCTCTCCTAGTCTAAATGCTGCTTTATAGGGCAGTAGTCATGTGCGTTTTGTTATGATTTGTTTTTTTCGGACCAAGATTGCATTTTCCGAGATTCGAAATGGATATAGCAACGAATCAGAAAAAAAAGTTATAAAAAAATTATCGAATGCATTTTTTTCATTTGGATGATGTCACATGATGTGATAATAGTTGGGTCCATGGGAAAAGTAATTCAATTTTCGAATGTGTTCAATAATTTGTATTTGGATAACAAATGGATCAGAATTTAATTTCTGCACATGATGCCAGCCAATATTGTCCAATCAGCTCATGACATTTCTCTTGGTGGGTTGAACTAGCAACCAAAATTATTGAATCCATCAGATTTGAATCCGTATGATTCAACAATATATTGAATATAGAACAAAAATGTGCAACCAATACACATTACCCAGCACTTATGTAAGAAGAGTGAATATATTGAATATATACAGTAGCAATCTTACAGAAAAACTGCAAAACTCTCTTTCAAATCCACTTGGACCAATAAATATACGAAATTAATGCCGAAAATACGAAATTAATTCTGAAAACGAATCTGTTCAACATAAATATGACTAAAAAAAATTCTTCAATGAACGAATGCATCTGAAAATAAACAAAAATTTCTGACGTGCACATGTCTGTAGGGCATCACAAGAGGCTGATGAGTTCAGACAAATTCAAATACATACATTAGTTACATTTAAAATACATTATTTTTTCACAGATACAGAATGGTGTCTCCAATGCTGAGAAATAAAGGCAGATACTTATCCATCATGCCATACCATCAAGGAGGCATGTGATTGTTCCCACATTTATTTTGCAGCAGGACAACCACCCCAAACGTGCAGCCAATGACATTAAGAACCAATTTCAGCGTACAGAAGAACAAAGAGTCCTGGAAATTATGGTTTGGCCCCCACAAAGCCCTTATCTCAACATCTTCAAGTCTGTCTGGGATTACATTAAGAAGGATTTGAGGCAGCCTACATACATAGATCTGTGTTTACTTCTCCAAGATGTTTGGAACAACCTACCTGCCAAGTTCCTTCAAACAAGCAATGCACAAGCAATATATGTACCTAGAAAAAATTATGCTGGTTTGAAGCCAAAGGGTAGTCACACCAAATGTTGGCTTGATTTGGATTTCTCTGCTTTTTTACTCTGTTCATTTACATTCATTTTGTTAACTGATAACAATAAACTAATAACACTTCTACACTATATTGCCAAAAGTATTGGGACCCCCTCCAAACCATTGGATTCAGGTGTTCCAATCACCTCCATGGCCACATGTGTATAAAATCAAGCACCTAGGCATGCAGACTGCTTCTGCAAACATTAGAAGAAATTAGAAGAAAAAAGTAGAAGAAATTATGCTGGAAAACATTTAAAGAAATTATGCTGGTTTGAAGCCAAAGGGTAGTCAAACCAAATGTTGGCTTAATTTGGATTTCTCTTCTTTTTTCTTCTGTTCATTTACATTCATTTTGTTAACTGATAAAAATAAACTAATAACACTTCTACACTATATTGCCAAAAGTAATGGGACCTCCCTCAAAATCATTGGATTCCGGTGTTCCAATCACCTCCATGGCCACATGTGTTTAAAATCAAGCACCTAGGCATGCAGACTGCTTCTACAAACATTTGTGAAAGAATGGGTCAAGTGTGGTACCATTATGGGTTGCCACCTGTGCAATAAGTCCATCTGTGAAATTTCCTTGCTACTAAATATTCCACGGTCAACTGTTAGTGGTATAAAAACAAAGTGGAAGCAACTGGGAACAACAGCAACTCAGCCATGAAGTGGTAGGCCACGTAAAATGATACAGTAGGGTTAGCGCATGCTGAAGCTCACAGTGCGCAGAAGTCACCAACTGCCTGCAGAGTCAATAGCTAAAGACCCCCAAACTTTGTGTGGCCTTCAGATTAGCACAACAGTGTGTAGAATGAGTTTCCATGGCCGAGCAGCTGCATCCAAGACTTACATCGCCACGTGCAATGCAAAGCATCAGATACAGTGGTATAAAGCACACCACCACTGGACTCTAGAGCAGTGGAGATGTGTGCTCTGGAGACATGTTCTCTGGAGTGACGTATCACGCTTCTCAGTCTGGCAATACAATGGATGTGTCTGGGTTTGGCGGTTGCCATGAGAACTGTACTTGCTAGACTGCATTGTGCCAAGTGAAAGTTTGGTGGAGGGAGGAATATGGTTTGGGTTTTTTTTTCAGGGGTTGGTCTTGACCCCTTAGTTCCAGTGAAGGGAACTCTTAATGTGTCAGCATACCAAAACACTTTGGACAATTTCATGCTCCCAACTTTGTGGGAACTTGACTGGCCTAAGTCCTGACCTAAACCGGATAGAACACCTTTGGGATGAATTAGTTTGGAGACTGTCAGCCAGGCCTTCTTATCCGACATCAGTGCCTGACCTCACAAATGTGCTTCTGGAAGAATGGTCAAACATTCCTATATAGACACACTCTTAAACCTTGTAGACATCCTTACCAGAAGAGTTAAAGACCATATGTATGTAAGTCCACATGGAAGTACTAGCATGTGCGCTGGTCTCCAACACCCTCCATGATATGTACTAGATCAATGATTAGGGATGGAATGACTAGGTGAATGGCACTGCTGCTCTTCAACACCTCCACTAGAAAATGGATGAAATTCTGCAATAACACAAAGAAAGAGGAGCGCACAGCCGCCCTAGTGTAATCCAGTTTATTAAAACCAACCATAAAAATCTGCACAATATGCACTCGCATATTCCATGTAGAAATGTCTGTGAGTGTCCAACGAACCACTCCCAATGGCTGCTGCACGATGCAGGCAGTATGGGTAATGGGAACCCTTCCTTCATCACCAGCTGAAAACTACAGATCAACTGGAGCTAGTCACCAGCATGGGGATGGTACTGCGCATGTGCCCGAATCCGACGGCTTCACGCTGCGTAGCTGATGGTCATAGGGCTGAGAGAAGCTTGAGGTGCCGAAGACAGACACAGATGTGCGTTTCAGAGGCGTGACCTCCTTTATCAAGTCACGCCCACCTCTCACACTTACTGTGTTATATAGGGACTACTATATAGGGAATACCCAACTCCTCCCCTGGCCTGGATCTTAAAGCGGCCATAGCTGAAGGAAATGGCTGCACACTGATGATCTAACATGGGCAACAGCAACCCACAACTAAGTGTATAAAAGCGTCTATATTATATTTGATATAATATTTTAGTGCATAAGTGCATACTGATAAATCACTTAATATAACAAAATATGTTTCTACCTTAATAATTAAAATAATCACAATACCATCAAAGCATATAAAATAAAAATACAATACAATACAAAATACAGAGAAAAATTAAAAAAAGAATGCGAAAGAAGAAAGGAAGAAAGAGACATTACTTCCACATCAAAACAGTATCACCATTACAACTTGGGAAAACATGACTAAGCAATTACATCATGTTCATTAAAATTTATTTACTTAATGACCTTGGCTGATAGGTCATAACCTGTAAATGAATAGTGAGTCCCTGACATTTAATACCACTCTAAAGAGAAAAAAAAACACACTGGAAACGGTATATTATATGAAGGTATTGGTTTCCAATTCCTCATTCAACCCATCAGGGGAAATTGTGTTAAGAGTAAAAATTCAATAGGTCTCCCTGGCACACAGTTTGGAGAATCTTTCCCCCTCTGGGATAGACAAGGAACAGCCTCAATCCCAAAGAGTTCTAAACCTATTGTGCTACCACCATGTGCCTGGATGAAATTTCTGTGAACACTATGTTTATCAAGTTTAATGTTCTATAAACTGTCTGTATTCTCCAAATCTAGTGCGCATGGTACGTACTGTACAGCCTATATAATATAACCCACAGGGACACCTTAGGCCATAAACAACAAATTACGTGTTACAGCTGGTAAACTGCTTTATGTGAAATTCCCGTCCATCATTAATAAGGAAGGTATTCTTTTCATGCGTTATGAATTGACATGCCTTACATTTATTAGACTTACACCTATAGGACCCTGTCAAGTTCAAAAACGTGAGAATGTCTTTAGCTCTAATCAAGCCCCCCTTTAGGCAACTAGGGGCAACCATACTTTTGATGTTGTTAGCCCACCTAAATACCACCTTGGGTGCATTGGGGAGCACTTTACCCAGGATAGAATCCTGTTTCAGAATGGGCTGGTGTTTCTGCATAATTTTTTTGATGTCCCCCCCTCCCCTCCAACATTAAGATAATGGTCAATGGCCATTTGGATGTGGTCCCTTTTATACCCCTTCTTGAAAAATTTGGTAGCCAATCTCTCAACTTGCGTTACATAATCAGATGTACTAAAGCAATTCCTACGTAATCGGAAAAATTGGCTATAAGGAATTTTGTCATTCCACCTGGGTTTGTGGCAACTATTCCTATGTAGGTACAAGTTGCCTGCTGTCTCTTTAAAATGTGTTTTGGAAGCAATGCTTCCCTCTTCATCCCAGTATAGCACAAGATCTAAAAATACCAGGGATCGGGCATCAATCAAATTTTAAATTGTCTCTAATGAACCATCCCATATAATGAGCACGTCATAAATATAGTGCCCATAGTATACCAGATGTTTAATGAAGGGGTTATGGGTCCAGTTGGTTCCAGATGTTATATGTTTCCCAATATCCGTAAAACAAATTTGCATAGCATTGTGCAAAATGTGCACCCATGGCTGTGCCCGCTCATTGTCTATAGAATCACCCATTAAATTGGAAATAATTCCTTTCTAGGGCAAATTTGGTACACTGCTGGATGAAATTTGATTGGGCAGGATGGAAATACTCAGCCGCTGATATCCAAATCCATTGCATGTAAACCACCTTCATAGGGAATAGAAGTGTAAAGCGAGCACACATCCAATGATACCCAGAGGTAACTGGATTCCCACCTATAATTCAGCAGACTCTCCAACACATGTGAAAAGTCCCTGATATAGGCTGGCAAGGTCGCCACCAGAGGTTGTAGGAAAATATCCACATATTGAGACAGCCTGCTGTTAATGCTGTCCGTGCTCTCTACTATGGGTCTTCCTGGCAGACATCGTGGGTCCTTATGGACCTTTAAGTTGTGATAGAAATACGATATTTTAAAGAAGTTGTTAATAAAGAATTGCTGTTGTGACTTATTTATCACCCCTTTACTAAGGGCCTCATTGACCAACGCATGCAATTCTGTTTTGTAAGAGGGGAAGGGGTCTTTGTTTAGTATCTCATATGTGGCTCTATCCAAGAGAAGCCTTTTTCAGCCTCCCTCATGTAGTCATCCCTATTTTGAACTACTATGGCTCCCCCTTTATCCGCCATACAGATAACCACATTGTGATTATTTTTCAGGGCTTCAAGTGCGGCTTTTTCTGATCTATTAAGATTACTCTTAGCCACCTTCCTTGTGGATAACCACACAATTCCATAAAATCTTCATACACCATTGCATAGTAAGTAAATTTACTCTTTCCATAATGAGGATAGAAAGCTGACTTGGGGTGAAATTTGGTGTGGATTATGTCATTATTGAAAGGATTAGACATTGCTGGTAGATCTTCCAGGCCTCCTTCTAAAATTAGGTCTTCTAGAATAGCTAAAATTTCAGTGTCAGTTTCTGCAATATCAAATTCTTCGACTATTGCTTCTGCTGACTCTGGACCCAGGTTAACAGGGGGACAATCAACTGGGTGTTTTTTGGGCTGCAAAGAATAATACTGTTTGACCATTAGGTCACAGATATATTTATGCAGATCTTTAAATAGATCGAACAGATCAGCATGACAATTGATGGCAAAGTTTAGTCCCTTTTGCAAAAAATCTATCTCACTCTTACTTAGTATATGGGATGATAAATTAAATATTTTCATAGTGGAATATGGTTCTCCTTTCTTCCCCTCTTTGGGCCATTTCTTCTTTCCATCTCTGACCCCTCTTCATCTCCTATTTTTCTTTTTTCCACTGGAGGAGGGGGATGAGTTACAAAATGGTCATTACTTAGAATATTATCCTGTCCTGATATATTTGGTGTTCTTTTCGATGGGATATTGTTAGATGAACCCCTATTTGAGTGAGAGGTAATAGGGAGCCCTTCCACTTGAACATTCTCTTCCCCAAGGATACCATAGTGATTGAGAACAGGGGCAGCATAAACCACTTCACTTTCCCTATGGTCCCCCACTATTGATTCCACCCCAACAGTGGGGGATACCAGTGGGGGTCTGCCAGATGACTTACCCTCCATTGTAGGTACAGTGTACAGGATCCTGCTTTGTATTGTTAGTCAAGGGAGTGTGCTTCTGACTACTGCCCCCCCTAGGCATGGATGAGTTAAACATATGGTCATTATTGGTATTATTCTCATTAGGACCCTTGAATGGTCCATGCTTTTTATATTTTTTTTATTTAAATTTTTATATTTATCTTTGTTTCCATCTTTATCTTTAACGCACTGTTTGTAAGTACTATTACACATGGGTTCTATATTGGTGTGTTGATTTTTCCAATGCTTCCTCCTAGTGGGTTGGAATTGATAGCCCTGTGAACTGGCCAACTTTGGCTCAAGTAATTTCTGCCCACTAGGGATGACCATTCCTTAGTGTTGTCTCCTCGGGGGCCTCTAGCTTCTTGATTAATTAGTGGTGGATGGGGTTTTTCTAAATTCAAGAAGTGGGATTGCTGCCTATCATTTGGCAATTCCTGATTTTTCTTTCAGTTGAAAATAAACCCCATTTTCATAATCCTTTATATCCCTCGAAAATGTTTTCTTTTTGCCTGCAACCAGGTTATCTTCAAAGATCCTTCTTTTATTGTTGATGAAATTTCTGCATCTGCAGAAACTAGGGACATCCCTGAAAACCTCCAGCTCTTCAAGGAGCTTGGTAAGCTTGGAGCTGTTGGAGGCCAACATTCTCTCCCTCTGCACGCACAGTATTTTCATCCACTGTGCAGTGCACATTTTAGATCATCGGTATGCAGCCAATTCCTACAGCTATGGCCGCTTTAAGATCCA